GTGTTTTAGCTGGCAACACTCATTCGACCATGAAAGGGAGCCAGTATTTAAACGAGACTTAATTTTCTAATTTTTAACGATACAATAGCAACAATTATTATTTTAAAAAAAATTTTTGTTAGTCTTAACATCGATGAAAATTCAACACAAAGTAGGTTAATAACAATATACTAATATACTAATTACATGGGATATACTAATATACTAGACTAATAATGTATTTTTTCATATTTTTCGGTTATCCGTTTTTTCAGTTATCCGACCAATCCCAGTCCCCAATTGAGTCGGATAATCGATGCTCTACTGTAATTTTATATATTTAGATTGAAATTAATAAAATTAATAAATCTAAAATTAAACATGATTTGTAATGAAGAAAATTATTTAATGGTATATTAAAAATTTTCTAATTTTAAGAATTATTGTTGTTATATTATTGTTAAGAATTTCAATTTTTTTTAAATTGATGATGATAACAGAAGATTGTTAACATTAATCCAAATACCTAATTGGTGAATTCATTTTGGCAATGTTTGGATTACTAATTTAATTAATTAACTATATAGTTTGGTCTAAAGATAGGTAGTTATGCTATCATCTTGTATCAACATTAATAATTGATAATTAAACTTAAATTAAATATTGACAGTGAACCTAGAGGAAACTAAATTAATCAAAAAAGTGTTTGATGAAAAACAAATCAGAACTGTAGAAATCCTCAAGATTTATAAAGCATCCAGAGATTGTGTCAATGCACAAGATTGTGAGATGATCCTGCATGGCAAATATTTTATGATAAGTGGGAAGAATAAAGCCAAAATCTAATAGCTATATAATTTTATAGACCTTGATAAGATATTGGTCATAATCAAGATCATTAATTTTGATTTTAGAACATATCATCAAATATACTATGGCTAATACAAAATTTTAAAATATTCCAATATGTTTTAGAACAGCAAGGCATTCCAGTTTAAAAGTAATTTGTTCCAGTTGAACCTAAAACAGACTAGTGAACATATAAAAAAACATTTGTCAATAATCTACTACCCTACTGGAAAAGTACTTAAGTGACCCTTCTTTGAACATCAATATAAATTCCACTTTTTAGAAATTGCAATTTATAAATTAAATAATTTAGAATAATATGAAAAAAAATTTGACATAGAACAAGGCTCACCACACATCTTCAGCATACACAGATGTATTACCAGCTATGCTATCAAAACCTTCCTTTAATCCTTTGCTTCCAAAACTTATATTAATTAATTAATGCCACATAACCACATAGCTTGTCTTGCAAAGTGGAAACACATCCTATATGCCTAAGAGCCATAGATTACAATGGAAATAAAACACTGCTCAGTGTATTAAAATCTGAGCACTGAACAGTTTCTTTATCTTCAGGTTATATTAAATGTTCATATCCAATCGGGCAACTACATAAACCTTAGAAGTTTATGTAGTTGCCTCTAGAAGCCTATAAAGAAAGGTTGCAAGAAGTCTGTACTTCATTATGTAACTCTGTTTATTCAGTTTGTTACATTTTACAAAATTTTAAATTCATAATCAACAATTTTTCAAACTCTGTAAATTTTTAAATGTGAAAAAAAAAAAAATGATTTTGATAATTCCATTAACTAATAAAGCAAAGTTTTTGTTAAAATAAGAATAAAATAAAACTATTAAAATGTATTTTTTTAACTTATCTTTACAATATTACACATATGACATATATCAATTTAACATATTCATAACTGATTCAATCAAAATATAGATATAATCAAGATATAATTATGGTAATTTAAAACAATGATATATGAAATATATTAAATTCATCTTAAATCTTACCTAAATCATACATAGATTATACACAGCTTCTGAATTCCACTTATGCACCACATGTTTGACAATTAACCATAATAAGCAGATCATAATAATAATAACAAATATTTTAGTAAAAATTTATACTGTTACAGACACAGTTTAGAAGTAATTTGACAAGATGATCTTTGCAAAAAGTACAACTGAAATTTTCTCTTTACTCACCTCTTTATATCCTGTTTGGAGAATGCTGCATTCATAAGAAACTTTGTTTTCTTAATATTTATTCTCTCTTTTTTTTGGGGGGGTAATTGGAAGATATTTTTGAATAGTGTATTTGTGAAACTGTTTATTTGTTTCATTTCTGTGGTATGTCATAAATAAGATATAACAGTTTGATTCCTCATTTTTACTGTATAATTTTGTATTATGCAGTTGTAAGCAACCATTCAAAATAATTACAAATCCTGATTTATATAATTTAATTAACTTGATTATGTTTAATTGTCATCCATCAAATTCACTTGTGTCATATAAGCACATTTTATATTATATAGTTAAAAATGAAAATTTTATGTAAATTGACAACAATATTAATGTAAGAAATATAATTTCTATAAACTCACTTGTGCTTGAACATCCCCTTTATCAGCAAGAAATTGATAATATTGTATTAAGTCATCATCCAAAACTCCTGAAGTAGATCCTGGATTTTCCAATTCATCAAGTAATCGAACCCTCTGAATGGCTGTACCACTATTTGAAGATAATTCTTCTTCAACTGCTCATGATAAAATTTGATTTAGTAAAAACAGATTACAATATACATATTTTTTTTTAATGTTTAAAAAATAGAAGAAATTAAAAGTAAAGAAATAAGTAGTAAGTATACAAATGTAAAATAGCAAAAATAAAGAAATATTAGCATACAATTTATAAGTAATTAAGTTATATTCATTGCAAATAAATAATAAATAATAAACCAAAATAATTTATTAAGTAATATTTTAGTCTAATTTTCATTTTATTACATTTCATAATATGCTTCTATATAGAACAAAACTGAAGAGAGATCACTAACAGACAGCATTAAAAAAAGCAATAATTAAATAAATAACTCTTATGAAACTAATTTGCAAAAATTTCTTTATGGAAATTGTGGAAATCATGATTCAAGAAAGATAGGCCTAATTATTTTTTCTATAGCTATTTATTTAATACAAACTTTTATAATTAACTACTGTTTACATTATTCTTAGAGTATCAACTATCTATCTGCATCATATGTGGTATGATCCAAAAGTTCGGGGACTGCAGTAATGTATGACAACAAAAGCATGTACTTGAAGTTACAGCGTATGAAATTGATTCTATCAAACCATTCCTATGTGTTCAGGTTGGTTTCGCCCATGTCACGTGATTAAACCACGAGCGCTGTTGTTTTCTTTCAGAGATAGTTACCTTTGTTTTGCGATGTAATAAAAATGGAGTTTCAAGAACAGCACTGCAACATTAAATTTTGTCAACGTTTAGGTAAAACACCTACAGAGACTTTAAAATTGCTAAGAAAGGTGTACGGTGATTTTACCATGGCGAAATCAAAGGTGTACAAATGGCATCAATGTTTTAAAGAGGGCCGAGAATCCATCGCAGACGATGAATGCTCTGGCTGACCTTCGACTTCACGGAACAAGAAAAATGTTGAGTTGGTCTCTCAATGTGTTCGCAAAGATCGTCGCCAAACCCTTGAAAAAATCACTGTGGCTACTCACTTATCAAAGACTAGTTGCCAGTGTATTTTAACAGAAGATCTTAACATGCACCGAGCAAAGGGAAAGTCATGATGAAGGTGTTTTTTGATTCTCAAGGAATTGTTCATTCAGAATTTATTCCCGAAGGCAGAACAGTAAACAAGGAGCATTATCTAGACATTTTATGTCGTTTGAGGGAATCCATTCGTCATCAGATCTGGCAAAGTGGAGACTGGTACCTTCTGCATGACAACGCACCTGCACATCGGTCCCAAATGGTCACACAGTTTCTCGCCAAAACTCAAATTAATGTGCTTCCACACCCCGCCTATTCACCGGACTTAGCCCTGTGTGATTTTTATTTGTTTCCATCAATGAAAAAGCATTTGCAGGGACGCCGTTTTGTGTCATCAGATGAGGTGAGAGTAGCATCGCAGGAGGCCTTACAGGAGGTTTCAAAAATGGCTTTCCAGCAGTGCTTCCAGAAGTTGTACAAGCACTGGCAAAAGTGTATGGTTCCCAAGGTGATTACTTTGAAGGTGGTTGTGCATCGGCAATATAAACTTTTTAAGGTAAAGAATTTTAATTCAAGTCCCCGAACTTTTGGATTGTACTACGTATAATACAGTATTTAAACATAAAAGTATGAATAGGAAAAATAAACCAAAAAATATTCAACTTATTAATAAATTTTTATATCAAAACATAATAATTTAATTTAAATTAATAATAATATCTATCTAATTATGTGTCATAACATTTAAATATAAAACTATAAAAAAATTTTTCTATACTTTCGAAATAAACATTGAAAAATAATCATAAATTTTGTGTCAGTAAGGCATATACTATCAATTACATTATAAAAACATTACTACCCACAAAAAAATCAAATACAATTATTTTGCTATAAAATTACCAAAAACAATATAACATACTTTTAGTGAAAATTAATGTAAAATTTTAAAAATTCTTCATACTTCTCAGATTCATTAAATAATACTTAAAATCATTTGTTGTTATTCAACAGAATATTTCAAATACAAAACACAATAAAGCAGTCAACAAGAAAAATTTTACAGCATAAATGATCAATTAACATATTCAGAAAAATTATGAAGATGAGCACCAAAAACTGATCCAACTAATCATTTTATACAATTATGTTGGTCAATAAAGAAAACTAACTAAATCAATCTCTCAATTTTATTCCCATACATTTGATTTTATTATTATTGTTACGAAAAATTAGCAATCAAGCAAATTTCACAATTATACTATGGAAAAGAGTTCCAAAACTAACAGAACTCAAAGCAAACTGAAATATTAGAGAACAAAAAAATGTCAATAATGCTGCATCTTTAAAAAAACGAAAACAAAATTCCATTATTGATTTTTATTATATTTAATAATGATTTNATGTCTAATGAGCAATTGTTTATTGACATCGTCATAATGCCGGGCTGCAATTTTTAATAATATTTTTAATTTATTTCATTTAAAATATATGCCCTCCACATCAAATTAGTAGTGTCTTGCCCCTGTACATCATACTTTCCTGCTAGCAATAGAGTTGTGCCAGTCATCTATCTTTCAGGAAAAAATTTTTTAATTGAAATAACATGACTTATGGTGCAAACTGGAAGTTCACACATAGTTAATTGAGGCTTCCTGCCCCTAAGGTTTTCATATCTGTCTCTTCTTTCATCTATCTAACTACATTCTTGAGATTAAGGAAAGACAGACACACAGACAGACAAAAGTGGGAATTTATAGGTCTACAACTTTTTCAAATTGCAGCCCAACAGAATTTGTAAGATAAACTTTTTCCTCAAGTTCTTGTTTTAAAAAGACCACAATCTTAGCTATCGATTAAATTTTTGCTTTCAATAAAAAGTAGCAGAAATCTATATTTGACAATATACTTGGAAACATACTTAAAATTTTCTGCCCAGAAATATTTAAAGCAGAACAACTTTTCTGTTTTCTTTTTTCTTAACAGAAATACATTAGACAACCAAACAATATATACAATGCCAATTAGTGCCATCTAAAAATGTTGTGTCCTCTTTTCTGCCAAAATGTTTGAATAATATGACATTCCCAGTGACACTTCAATGGGATTCAAAAAATGATTGCTTGTGTTGCATGTAGAAACAGAGAAATTGAGCAGTATTGAACCCTGTTTTTGGCCCTCTTTCAGTTGTAAATAATTTGCTTTTTCTGTCATAAAGTGCTTTTTTCTACTCAGAAAATGTCAAGTTTGTCCCTACCCTTATAAATAATGCAATCAATTTTTGTATAGAGAGATGTTAATTGTTTATTTTTAACTGATATTTATATTTTCAACTAATATAACAATGTTTTCTATTCACTTCTGTGCATTAATTAATTATAAATGAATTACTTTATAATACACTTAAAAACTGATGATGATCAAAAATTTTGAATATAGTTTGGTTAAGGTTAAATAAAAACATCAGTAATACAGTATCATTATATTAAGTAAAAGCAAAAACAATGAAAACATTTTTAATGTATTTTGCAATTTTAAATTATTTAATAGAAAATATATATGTATATACACAAACACTGTATAATATTTATTACTAAGTACAAAAAGATAAAATTTTAATTACATTTTCTGCATAATTTTATGTTAATTATGATTTGAACCATTAAAAAAGATATTATTTTATTTNTAACTTTTTTCTGTACCCCTAAACAACCTATCATGTATCTCTGGGGGTACGTGTACCCTGGGTTGGGAATCACTGCTAGAAACAATAATAAATTAATAACTCAATAGTTTGATATGTACCATTTGTCCAAACGGAGATCCAGTCTTTGCAAGTTCTTCAAAATATTCTTTAGCAGCTGAGATATTTTGATTTAAAACATCACCAAATAGTAAAGCTTGTCCTACCATTTCTTGAGCTTGAGGATGACCTAGAGTAGCAGCTTGCTTTAACAAATCATATGCTCTAAATAAACAAACAAAAGAAATATCTGTAAAAACTTTTCAGATTTAAAAAATTAGTACTTTTAATAAAAGACTCATTAAATATATAAATAAAAAAACTCCATTTTTTAAGTTTCAAATATTTCTGTAATATTGTAAATAGTAAAAGAAATTGAAATGATTTTATGATTGGTCTATATCTATTTAGGAAAAATATATATTTATGTCTCAAAAATCAATTACTTTAACAAAGTAATATGCTGAAAAGATCTGGCATTACATTCCAAATATAATTAGTGAAATATCAAAATTGTGTAGATTTTGAAAAGTATGCTGAGTATGAACAGATACAATGTTTATAGCATAGCATATAGACTGCACGTGTTACTGTATACAAACATTAATAACCACGTCAATTGTTTGACATTTACATAGCAATGTTTTTAGAGTTATATCCTATTATGATAGTAGATTGCCTACCTATAAGTAACAAACTAAGTTTAACTACATTTTAGAAAGTTGTTTGAAGATTTGGGTTGACACTGCAATTTTTTATAATTTTTTCTATTTAAAATAAAGGACTAAAATAAATAATAAAATAAGCTCCCAATTATCATTTTCACACTAAATGTCTGATTTTCAAGAACAAATTATTAATGTTAAATGGAGATGCCTATACCATCTTTTACAGCTAGCTTTTGAAGACAATCATTTCAAGTACTTTTAACAAAATAGCTATATTTTATTGTTATTGTAAAGGAAAAATCTTGTACACCTGGAAGTGAAATACAAAGGTGGATATTATCTGAAATAATGTGCATCTCTAATTATTTTGCAACTACTTATATATACAATAAACATTCAATTAATATCCCCTCTTCCTGAATACATACTTACAACAGCAATGATATTTTAAAAAATCATTTATTATTATTAATTCCTGAAATTCCCACAATTCTTGCAAATAATTATTCAGGGTATTAAAATCTTAAAACCTTTAAATAAAAATTTCTTGAGAAATGAAAATAAAAAAATTAAGCTGATTTCTTGAGAATTCCTGATCATGCATGACCTTTGTAATTAAAATAAAATTGTATTTTAAATTAATGAAATTGTTATCATTGATAGAAAGATATATAATATAGAAATAATACAGTACATATATCTAAACACAGTATTAGAAAAAAATTACTCATTCATCTTATTTATTATTATTTTAAGCTGAACTCCTTTTACTTAAAGAGAAAACAATATTGACTATGAGACCTTCAAGTCAGTACAAAAGATTACCTGTTAAAATACTGGAAATGGTTAAACTTCACTAAAAAAAAATGAAACCATATGACATCTGTGCTTGGCATTGCATTGTACACTCAAAGCCAGGAAGAAAAGCCTAACACTAATCTTGAAACATTCTAGAACTTTGTAATTTAAATTATGCCGTTATCTTTCATTGGACCTAAGATAAGATTTTCCCCTAGCATAGGGGAGTTGGGATGTATGGCATCCAAGCCACTGAATAGTCTAGTACTGATTACCAGACTAAGTAGAGTAACCAAAGGGCATTTTATCACACATTTCATTGGAAATAGACACATCAGCAATGTCTGACAATATGAAACTTTTAAAACAACATATTTGTATGCTGTTGCTCTATCACTTCAAAAGTGGCCACAACACAATAAGGATTCACAATCTGAAGTCTGCAAAGAATTTGTTAAAGCCTTATGGGTGAACAACAGCCAAACAGCTGTTACAAATGTCAAAGGCTGACAGTGCAGAAGGTAGTGTACGAGGTCTGTAAATAAAGTGATGAGACTGGTTTCATAGCAAACAATCTGGCAAAATGTGGGGTTCTTCTTGGGTGGGATGGGGTGTGAGGACAACGTGCCATATAGCTTCAGTTTAAGTGAAAACCTTGTCACGTTAACTAGTGTACTGTGAGTGCATATTTTGCAAAGTGATATTTTGTTGCGTGTTCCGAAAATGAGCAAATGTAGTTATGAACAACATTGTGCAATCAAGTTTTGTCTCAAACTCAGAGATAATGCTACTGAAACATTTGCAAAACTTCAACAGGCCTACAGGGAGACTGCTTTGTCAAGAGCCCAGGTTTTTAGATGGTTTAAAGCATTTTCAAAAGGCCAAGAATCTGTTGAAGATGACCCTCAGGAAGAAGGCCATCAACTTCACAAACTGATGCAAATGTGGAACAAATCAGAGACTTTGTGCAATCTATCAGTTAAACATCAGATTGATTGCAGATGAGCTGAATTTGAACCACACAACCATTCTTCAAATTTTGACCAAAGAATAAGGGATGAGAAAAATTTGTGCAAAAATGGTCCCCAAAAACCACACTTCTCAGCAAAAAGACAAGAGAAAGAAAGTGTGCTGTGATTTTCAGGACTGGATTGAAAATGATCCAGATTTCCTCACAAAGTCATTACAGGTGATGAAACATGGATCTTTGAGTATGATCCAGAAACAAAACACCAAAGTGAGGAGTGGTACACAGCAACCTCCCCATGGCCAAAAAAAGTGAGAATGAGCAAGTCGAAGATCAAACTCATGCTCATGTGCTTCTTTGATAGCAATAGAATTGTCCATAAAGAATTCGTGCCTCAAGGACAAACTGTCAATCAGCATTTTTACTGTGAGGTTCTTGAAAGGCTGCGAAAACGAGTTACTCGTGTGAGGTTACATTTTGAAAGAGAGAGAGTTGATTTGTAGATTAATTATGAATACAGATATTTACAGAAAAAGTCTCATTACTTTATTTACAGACCATGTATAAATTAGAATGTACAAGAGAGAATCCTAATCATTAGTGAGCAAGTCATGTATTAATAAAAGAATTAAAAAGCATGAAGAGGCAATCTGACTGAGACACAATCAATCCCCGGGGTATGAACATTCAATGACTAATAATTATGAAATTAATAGAAATAAGGTAAAAATATTACACAAAAAAAACTGATATATATAAATGTAAATTTAAAGAACATATCCAAATTAAAAAACATGCTAAAAATGAAAATTTGATTAATATATCAGAAGATATGCTAATTAATAAATTATGGTATGACATAATAGAGGGCATAGCTGAAAGTAAAGCAGCATCATTGTAATAAGATAGTAATTTTTCTACTTGTATGAAATATCTGTAAAATGGTTTATATATGAAATAGTAAATGTTAAATGTAAGTAATTATAAAATATCCATAATTAAAGCTAGATATTAATGTTATTTAAATATGTAAAACTAAAAAAAAGTCATATGATTATTAAGTTATTAGATAAGATTTGTTATTTGCATAAACATAAATTGTGTTAATCATGATAAATCAAATATCATCATTTATACACTACAGTACTAGATAATACTAGGAATAAAATACTAAATAATTCTGAATTAAATATTTTGCTCGGTAACAATCAATTGAAAACTGTTGATAATACCTTGTATTTAATACTTGGGTATATTTTGATAAAAACTCATTATGAAAAACTTACAACTTTTTTGGCTAAATTTTTTGGTGTATTATAAACTATGAGACATTTTTTGTCAGTAATCGCTATTAAAAATTTGTATGTACCAAAGATTCACCTTGGTACATACAAATTTACGTTACAAAATCTTAATTTAGAGATCTGAATAAAAAAATGTTTAACTTAATGTGTTAACAAAGATATATAAGGTTTGCATTGTTATTAAAATGGAATGTATCAATGTTAAATTTATACAAACTTTATAAATACAATAAAATTACTAACGATACAGTATATTAAGACAATTTTATTGAATTGTTACAAACAGAAGATAATNTACAGCAGTATATATATAATAAAGCTAAGCATAATATAAATTTCATTTACAAACATTTTTAAACCAAGAGAAAGTAACATGTAAAAAAAGAATCAAAATTAAACATATTTCTTTGTAAAATACAATAAAAATAAGAACACAGATCACTAATCTGGTTAAAATGGTGTATAAATATGGTGTATAAAATGGTGTATAAATATGAGAGTGGTTTTTTCAACCTTCAATGGTCCGTAAAGAAAAAGATAAGTGTAAATAACAAAATGCATTTATTACCAAAAGTAGGTACAAACATGTCACTTTTCGACATAATCAGCATGAAGATTGAAACATTTGCCATATCTGTGGACAAGTTGTGCAATCCCTTTTCATAGAATGTTGCTGCCAATGACTTGAGATGGGCCCTAATGTTGTTTTGAAAATTGTCATTAGTCTCAAACCTCTGCCCTCCTAGCCACTTTTTCTGTTCAGGAAAGAAGTGAAAGTCACTCAACACTAAATTGGGGCTATATGCTGGGTGTTTAAAAGTGGTGAAGACTTCCATCCAGCTTGGAACTTTTTAACTTAATGTGTGAAGAATTCCACCTATTTCCTGAACTAAAAATGTGGCTAGGAGAGCAGAGGTTTGAGACTAATGACAATCTTCAAAACAACATCATTAAGGCCATCTCAATTCACTGGCAGCAACATTCTATGAAGAGGGGATTGCACAGCTCATCTACAAATATGACAAATGCCTCAATCTTCACAGTGATTATGTCAAAAACTAACCATGTTTATATCTAACTTTTGATAATAAATTCATTTTGTTATTTATACTTGTCTTTTTTTTAAAGACCATCGGATATTGAAAAAAAAACAGCCTATGTATATATGAAGAATATCGTAAATTTCTTTGTGGTATTCTTAAGTGGAGCCAACTGAACTGTATAAAACCATTAAAATATTTGAAGTATAAAAGCCAGTCAAAATATTAAAATATGTAATAAATTTTATATTTAAAATATTAAATATAAAATTAAATATGAATACTGTTTCTACACAGTGTATATTTAACATTACAAGTATGATAGTTGTTTTTAACAAGTTTTTTAAAGTATTTAATCTTGAAGTATATGAATTTTAAAAATTGTTTGAAACTATTACTTTTTAATTTGTAAGTACTGATTCCATTATTGTTTTAAAATGTGAATAATGTATGATATATAATACTGACTTCTTATGTAGAAATACCACTGAGGAGGGAACACAAAAGTATACATCATTCCAAAATGCATATGTAAAAGTAAATTAAGTAAATAAGCCATTGTCAAGTGAAACCTTTGGATGTTAGAAGTGTTGTTTCAAAATTCTCAAACTCACCTGAAAGTTTACAGAGAAAAGAAAGATAGAATTTCAGCACCCCTTATCCACATTGTAGTTTATAATACTCTTGTCAAATTAAATACAGTAGAGTCCCGAAAACTCGACACTCGATAACCCAGCAGTCCGGATAACTTGTCCACACCCTGGCAGTGTGAAAAAACCCCTAATTAGTTTTCATTATAGACAGCTTTATGCCTCGTAAAGTATTTTTCTGAGGTCTGCCTTATTAGGTAAATTACTGTACACTGTGTATTCATTAATTTTCATTTTTATGTAGTAAAGGCTCTATGCCTTCATAAAGTACAGACTTTTCCTTTGTTTAAGGGTATTTGGGCCGTTTATTCTCTGTTATATTCTCAAGCAAACAATACATACAAGTACAGTACAGTATTTTCTGAGGACTCCACAATTTTACTTATTCTTTTTTAACCCCATTCCCGATAACCCAGCATTTTCACAAACTCGGCCACCCTTCGGTCCACATTAGGCTGAGTTTTCGGGACTCTACTGTAATCATTTTTTTGATTTTGTTAAAATGAGTTTTTGTTGCTTTATTTTATAGAAACAGTTCAGTTGTTTAAAATTCAACAGATAATTCAAGCATTGGTAGTGAGTGTTTTAACTCAGATTGCATTTCACAAAATTTCAGAATGCAATCTGAAAAAAAAACCAGAAAAAATAAACTAAAAAAAGCATAAGGATGAATAAGTATATTAAGAAGTTGTTAACAAAATCATAAAAGTATTAGTTTATGTTTGACATGTAAATGGAATTATGAAAAATAAGACAATGGAAAGCAGTGACTGCCTGTACACATTCCAAAACACCTCTCATAATTGATGATGAGTTCTACCGACAATCTTATGAGCTGAAAGTTGTTGAATATGTTGATGTGTATCAAGTTAGAGATGATGAAATTGCCAAATTTATTTTCCATATGTGTCAATTAAACCTAAATTAAAGAAAGACTAAACTATAACTTCATTGAAAATTAAAATTAAGAAATAATTTAATACTTTTATCAGTTAAGCCTAATTTATAGTCTTCATATAGCTTTTACATGTTTTGATCTTAACATAAAAAGGAAATAACTATTGTCTATTTATTAAAAAATTATTTGTAATAATAAGCTGGAAATCATATACCAGGACTAATGCACTATAAATTATCTTGATTTTTGTGTTCATTGTTTTCTCTCAACTAGAATGAGCAACTCTTCTGCTATTTATCATAAGAAGCTGGTAATAATTAATTTCTAGTTTGTAAATGCATCATTCATAATACTTCACTTATTTTTATTTGCAAAAGATTTTTCCTGCAGTTGAGGTTACAGTGATGTTTGTGACATCAACAAGTTTTTGGAAATTCTTACACAAATAAGTGGAAAGCAATGCCTTACAAATGATAAATTGGGATAAAATATCTGTCATACTGGTTTTAAAAAAAAACATGTAAACAAAGTTAAAATGATAGAAACAAACAGAAATAATTTTTATTTGAAATCTTCTGATTGTCAAAATTGACTTGCAGTGTTGAAAATAGCAAGTCAAATTGGGTAAAAAATTGCAATTACACTTCAAATGTGAATGAGTACAAGACCTGGATATTTTTACTATTTTTTTGATATTAAAATAAAATTTATGAAATATAAAACTTAAATAGTGATTTTAAATAATTTTCTAATCATATTTATTTACATAAAATTTCATACATTAATTAAAAACTAATATTTTACAGTGAACAGCTTTAATATAAACATCAGACCCGATAGTTATATATTAAAGCCAAATGATTGCCAAATTATATTGGGCTATATTACTACTACTATTATTACATTATTATTATTACTTCACTAATAATTATTACATATACTAGATCTATAACAAATTCTGTCTAATGATTCAGTTTTTGATTTAGAATTTAACAAAGTTAATTAAATCATTTAAAAAGGAAAGCATTAGACAAATGTCTACCACAATAATCTTTTCAATAAGCTGCCAAATAAAATTATATATTGTAAATATATTGTGTTATATAAATTTAAATGAAATTATTCAAAAAACAGATTTTCCATACCGTTTTTTATCTGGTTTTGTAGAATTCAATATGCTCTTTGCTGTTTCATATAAAATTTGCACTAAAATTTAAAAATAATTAATCAATTAAATCCAAATATTTATTTTCTAGAAAACTTAATTTTCAATTATCATTTTACTGAAGAGATAGATTCATATTGTTTTACAGTTCAACAATACTTTTAAACAGAGATAATTGATTTGAAATAAACTTGTTTGAATGTTCTTATCTTTTTTTAGATGATAAATATAAAGATGTAATAGAAAAATTTCAAAATCATTAATCAGATTACTTGTAAGTACTTTTTCTAGCTTAAAATTTGGTATGTGTTTTGTTGAACTGTAATAAATTACCATTTTTCTCCAATAACATCACAGAAATAATTTTATGAGAGAGCAAAATAGCATAAATAACTTGTTAATATTTAAAATAAACTACATATTGAAATGATTACTTTAAAGATTTCCCAAAAAAATAAAAAATTTTTTTATATTATACTCCTTTTTATATAAAAGAAAAAAATACTCTAAAATTTACTATTCCACAAGATACTAGTGGTATTTGTGATGGAAAGATTTTCTCACTTTAAGGTTGGTTCATACTATGGCAGAAAATGCCACAGTTTCAAATAGATTACCTACTGTCATTAAAGTGATCCTGTCACATTACACTTTTTTCTGGTTCTGACCTTGACAAGTATATAGGCATGATAGATAAGTGAAATGTTAGATTTAGAAAAATACAGATGCTATTATGATATTAATCGTGATGAATTCATCATGATTAGTATCATAATAGATAGTATCATAATCATCTGTATTTAGTTTTAAATAATGCCTAGTCAAAATTCAGGAATGATGATAAACCTAATAAGGGTTTTGATAAACCTAATAAGGGATAAACCTAATAAGGAATTTGAAAAAAATTAGAATATCATGACAACCAAATTGCAGAAATATGATTAAATAATCATACAATTCAAAACAAAGGTGATTGAGATTAATATCATCATTTCAGTTAAAATTTCATTGTTAATATTACACAACATGATCAAACATCAAGTTGATAACTTGTCATATTAAGAAACAAGTTACATCATTTGAATAATCTTCTGTCATTGGATGAATGTTTAACTTTCCATTTGCCATTGCAGTAAAAGTCAAGCTGGACTCAATTTGCTGACACATTACTTTTCTGTCATGAAATAACATCACAATGGCAAGTTGGTCATGCCATTATCACTCACTGTGCAGAATATGTTGTAATGAACTAGCCTTTAAAAGAGCAGATCTACTATATGAAAGCTTTGAACCATGAATATGCAAATAGATTGAATAATTTCAGGAAAATAATGACACTTAGCAACAAAAACAGGACAGCAACTGAATTAGATGACAAAAAACAGTAAATTTATTTTATTTCCACTGAAATTTGATATAGTAATAAAGTTGTTGAATAAATTCCAAAGTACTTAAATCTGTTGTTTGATATTTAGAAATATGAAAGATAAACCTTAAAATTTTTGCGATTTTCAATGACAAATGTTGCAATTCTCATTTCAGCTTTATTGATAGACATTTTTGCCTTTAAGGGAATTACTTTTCACCATCTTGTAAGTCTCAAATGTGATGATCAGTCTATTGATGCATTTCAAAAATCAGCAATCATTGCTCCAAGACAGTTTTCCATTAAGCCATTGGCTTTTGCCATAGGACATGTACTAATAAAAACAAGGCCATAAAAAGCAACACTTTTGTCATGTTTAAAAATGCTGTGAAAGTCGGTTTATCAAAAAAAGCTGCATTAGAAAAATTTGAGTTTTCTAAAAAAGCATTAGAAAAATTTGAATTAAAATTCTGCTATTGTTTTAGGATATAGCAGAATTTTAATTCAAATTTTTCTAATGATGAAACAGTGTGAAAATGCAAGATAAAATTTATATGAAGAAAAATGCTTTTTGTGGTATAGCGTGAAAAAACAATTTTGAATATAGAAAACTTTTAATATAAGACAAAATATTCATTTTTATACTGTAAAAAACTTAAATAAAAATTTTATTTAATGATGAAAATCAATTGAAATATTAAATCATCTATAATATAAGTTACATTATATATAAAAGTTAACACAAATTGAATATAGTAAAATAGAAATAATATTGAAGAAATAAATATAATTCAAATTAATAAAATTCTATATATATAAAATTGAATTCACATCTATGTCTGTATATAGGAAACCAAAACACCATCAATTATTCCATATCTCTATGGGTATCATGACACATACAAGATATCATTATTCAGATAACTCATTGAAGAACTCACACATTGTTTCAGTTGGATGGTTATCATAAAAAAATTGTATTATATTAAAGTAGCAGCATCTAGGCATGGGCATGATAGACAGATGACAGAGGAACTGATTTGCTAAAAGCTTTGATGCTAGACTCTACTGAGTTGACAAAGAAAGAGAGAGAAAGGGACCATTGAAGGTGGCCATGTATTGTACAACAAGCAGCTCATGTTGGATATACTGAATAGCTTCTTCAATGTAAATATAAGCATAGTCACTGTTGAAAGTTGTCCCAACTTTCCTCATCGCAGAATTTCATTTGATCAGACTCAAAATCTTATCACCATTTTACCAGGGCTGTGGAGTCATGTAAAAATCTACCGACTCCAACTTCAACTTTTCCTTACCATCCGACTCCGACTTTGACCAGGGGCGGACTAGTTATCGAAAGAGACCAGGAAATTCTGATGTCATTACATGACCTCAGAATAAAAGATTCAATAAACAGAGTTCTAATAAAGATAGAATGTAGAAACTTTTTATTTCAAAGCTAAAAGACTCCTCTGAGTTATATATAAATATGTATTTGATAATTTTTACTTTTCTGGCTGTTATATATAACAGAGGATATATAACAAAGTGTAGCGCTCGGTCAAAAAATGACCTCTCCCAAATTTTTACATTTTTGGACTCAGAACACCTTGAAATTTCGAGTTAATTAAGCAAAAGATTCGAAATTTTTTCTATATGTGTGGATGTTAAGACTGTGTGGGGGGCATGATTTTGTTCACCCTGTTTGAAGCCTAATAATTTCTGTGGTCAAAGTGGTCAGAATCGGAGTCAGATGGTTTAACACAGGAGTTAGTTATTAAGCGTCAAAGTGGTTGAACTAAATCGTGTCTCCATACACATTCTAACATCTTAGGCGAGAACATCTTAACGGGTTTTACTGTACTATTATAAAATGACAAAAAAAGCTTACTTTGAGGGTAGAGACGAGTTTTATTTTATTTTTTTAAATTTTGAACACTAATAACGAGTAAAATATTCATTAAGAGATATGACACATGACCCCTTTTATGTCTTCACCCTGTCAACCTTTAATTAAGAACCAAAATTTAATAGTATTAATGCCCCTTTATATGCTACAGTGCCACATTTCATTTCTTAAACTTTATCCATTCTGAGATATTGTTTAATATCTCAGAACAGAAAATAAAGAAATTAAACAAATTAGATGCAACACACAAACACAATTTTTCCCTTTTATTGACTTTTTTGAGGAGTTCCAGAGGTCTCCAAATGTGTAGATTTGCAAAAAAAAACTTGGAGGGTCAAATTTGACATGATTAAAATACTTTTCCGTTTTATATACATAACAAGTTGGTAAGTAAAAAGGAGTCAGAGTCGGCGGATTTTTTGATGACTCCGACTCCAGCTAAAACACCAAAACTCCACAGTCCTGCATTTTACACAGTTTGTACAGATTATGCCATTTCATATATTCTAGCTCTTGATGAATTTCAATTGGTGCAGTCCTCTTTGCCAACAGAAAATGAATTATACCCTGTATTTCTTTCTTTAGTCATTACTATACAAACATCTCGAAACCCAACTTATTTTTAATAAGCCAAACCACTACCAGATTACATTGGGCTACATTTTTCACAATTATATTTAATTAATTTCTAAATAGTTTGTCACTACAGAGAGGCATTAGGCACCATCTCTTATTATATTTAATAATTATAGTTAAATAATTTAGAATATTTCAGAATGGAGTAACCAAAGATGCTTATATCATAATTAAATATATCTGGAAGAGGAGAATGGATGGAGGCTTGGGTAGTGTAACTGGCAACATATCCACACAGTAAGCATGAGTTGTGGATTTGAGTCCTGCTCTGGGCAGATTCTTTTCTTCCAAAATATTCTAAATTATATAATTTATTATAATTATTCAATTTAATAAGAGATGATGCCTAATACTTCCCTGTAGTGACAAATTATTTAGAAATTAATTAAATATAATCACAAAAAATGTACAAAAAATGTAGTCCAATGTAATCTGGTAGTGGTTTGGCTTGTCTGTAATTAATCCAGACATGTTTATGCTGACTTGCAGACTTCTTTTTGTCACATGATACATATAAAAACAAGAATGCACATGTGGGATATCATGTGGTATCTTATTACCAAACTTGCACTTGTAAACTTTATTAATAAGAGGAAAATTTAGAGAAACTTAATTTCTGATACACTGTTGCACTTCTTATTATTTGAGTTTCTTCAAGATTAGCATCACACTCAATTTAGTGTCAATTTCAGAGGATAACAAACAGTAATATTAAATGAAGATTTGACTATAGTGTCTAATTTTTCAAACTTTATTTAAAAGTTTAAAACCTCAAAGAATAAGAACAAACAATTATTTATTGTGACATCATCACAATGCCAAACTGCAATTTTTAATCATATTTTTAATTTATTTAATTTAAAATATATGCTCTCCATCTCAAATTAGTACTGTGGTGTCTTGTCTCTGTACATCATACATTTCAGTTAACAATGGAATCATGCCGTTCATCTAACTAACTCCTTTCAGGGGAAAATTTTTTAAATTGAAATAGTGTGACTTTTGGTTTACATCAGAAGTTTGTATATAGTTAATTGGGGTCTCCTGTCCCCTAAGGTTTCCATATCTAGTCTTGATTTTATCTAACACCACCATTCTTAAGATTAAGGAAAGATAGACAGACAACAGTGAGAATTTATTAGGTCTACAATTTTTCAAATTACAGCCCAAAAAATGAAATATAATTACTTTAAAATATGATGTAATTAAAATTATACACATAATTAGACGAATGAATTTTATTTACTAATAAAACAAAAGGAAAAAAACATTCAGTATCAGTAAAATGAAAACTACTAATCTAATATTCTTGAATTTAAAAATAAATGATTTCCTCTAGAAGTTTATGGTACTGCAAACTTCTAGATAATATCTATAACAACAATATTGAATTTTGGATTGAATATATCTTCTAGAAGTCTTAAAAGTTTACATGTAAGAAAAAAACTTTGAGACTTTTAGAAGAAAGCAATATTTCATTACTTTTTTGGCTATTATAGAGCATAGAGAAAGTATTATAATTGGTTAAATTTGACCCTCTGCATTTTTTGCATTTATTGATATTTTAAGTCCCAATTCCAAAAACATCTAGAAAAGGAAAAAAATTGTATATATATTGGCCTGTATTTTTCATCTCTTAGCACCCCATTTTGAAATATGGCAGGAATACTTCTGTGTATGGGTATTGATGCTATTACATTTTAAAGATTATAAGTTAAAGGGGATAGGGAATCATAACCCTAGTGAGGTCAGATTTAATGAAAGGTTTACTCATTATTGACATTTGCAGTTTTTTTTTTTTTTTTGTTAATTGCCTCCTATCCCAAAAATATAGCTTTTGCCATTTTTCTAACTTTTAGAAATTATAATTCAAACTTTTGTACTTTATTCCATGTCTCCTTAACTTTCTGTTTGAGTTCTGGGAAAGTTGTACAAGAGCCTTTGTCAGATTTTTAATTTTTTTCTTTTTTCGGTTATGTCAAAATCTGAAATTGTCATGAAATTTCTTTGATTCATCTCATGACATTGTTTTGAATAGTGGTTTTGTTATTTCTAAATGAACAATATTTTTGATTTAAACATTATTTTTTATTATTTTGTTAAACAGAATTTTGTGATTGAAAATTCTAATTTTTTTTTATATAGCTAATATTTAAAGTTATTAATTAGTCTATCAGAAAATATAAAATTAATGTCATGAACAAATGATTTAGTCTTCNCTGCAATTTTTAATCATATTTTTAATTTATTTAATTTAAAATATATGCTCTCCACCTCAAATTAGTAGTGTCTTGCTCCTGTATATCATACTTTTCCTTTAACAATAGAGTCATATAATTGCTTTCAGGGGAAAAGTTTTGAATTGAAATAATGTGACTTCCAGTTTTAATTGGAAGTTTGTAAATAGTTAGTTAATCGGGGCCTCCTGCCCTAAGGTTTCCATATCTGGTCTTGGATTTCATCTATCTAACTCTGTTTTTGAGATTAAGAAAAGAGAGAGAAATGGACAACAGTGGGAATTTATAGGTCTACAATTTTTTCAAATTGCAGCTGAATTATTAGTAGTAACAAGTTTTATATATACAAGTTTGTGTTTGAGGGTTTGACATTACAATGTAGCATCAATTATCCAAACTTCTCTCTCTCTCTCTTTTTTTATTTCTTGTGTTTCCTTGGATTGTCAAAACAAACCTTAAATGGATGTCCTTCAGTTTGGATTTTATCATCACATTTCAGAGGCAATTGGCCTCACCACTAATAGCCAGCTTACATACTATACATGTTAAGTCTGAGAATACTGTAAACACCATAATTCTAAGAATATCCCACACCGAAATCTCTGACAGGTTCATTGTGAAATATTCTCAGAATTATACTGCATGTAATGTGCATTTCCTGGAAAATCTGACATACTATTTGTCATAATCCTTCTGTTTTCTTGAGTTTGGGCCTTTGAGTATCAATCTTAATTTGTAAAATGAAAACCATTCACACTTTTCCAGCAAAAGAATTTAAGAAACAAACATTTTCAGTTTATTTTATAAACCTGAGGCAGAGGTTTATAAAATAAACTGAAAATGTTTGTTGTATGCCATATAGTCTGCTTTTGTCCTTCTGACATTTTTCCCTATTCTTTGTTCTTTCCACCTTTGAGAACTTTCTAATCTTCTTAATTCTTTCTTGGAGGTGAGGACCACTTCCTAGAATTCACCAACATAATGTATACGATGTTACCTGAGGGACATATGAAGCAAAGGAAAGTTACTTTTTGACCCGTTCTCGATGAGGGAGGACAATAAATTGCAGTGTCCAGTACCTTTTAAACAGGAGAAAAATGAAACTTGAGGTAGAAAGCTCTGAACTTCCTTGGCTGAAGATATCAGCATTCCAGCTTGATTAGTCTGAACATGAGTGACTAGCTATTGAGATCAAATATACAAAAACCCTCAAAAATTAAAGAAAAGAAAGACAAATGAGAATTTTGTGTTTAAGAAACTTTCACATGGCAATTCACAGTAACCGAACAATGTTTACACTACCCAGGTATTCTTTCCTATCTTGTACACCATCTTTGCTACTTCTCACTTCCTATCTTCTATTTCTTTCTAGGTATAAATTAGGTTGCATTCACACTGCCAATGACAATGACAAAAACCAATGTTTTTATCATTTATCTTTGTCTGTAAAACATTCACACCAGTCATTATAACTGGACCAAGATTCACCATTTGTCATCATCATAACGGAACTGGCCAATCAGTGTGAACTTCCCACAGTTCTTTGACAAAAATGGAGGAACTGCTAATCTCTCATGTTAAAAAAAATGCCCTAAAAAGCTTAATAAATAGTCTAAAATATTTTGAGATATACAAAAATAATTTTAAAAATCCTTCAATAATCTTTTAATCATAATTCCTGGACCAAAGCAGAGAAATCACCTTGTTTTTCTCTCAATATGAATGGCTATAATTACCATCAAAGTTTTGATAGTTTCCTGAACAATTGTTGACATCAGTAGTGTGAATTCAGCCTTAGTATTAAGAATTAGTGTAAGAGAAAATTTTTTTTAATTATTATTTTCAGTTTCTTTTTGTACAAATTGCAATATTTTTTGTAATTGTTCTATCAATTACTGGATTTTGGGAAACTGCTAATCAAAAACCTCAGAGTTGGAATCCCTTTGTACATGCACATTATCATCATGCATAATAAATTCATTTTTTCCATCTTCTACTTTACGTGTTTTTTTTTCCTTGAGAGTTTGCTCTCATCAATCAATGAAACCCTTTCTTAATTATTACAGTTCCTTAAACTCTTTTACTGAAAAATGTGAATGGTTTTCATTTTACAAGTTATCTCTTCCAGTTTTAATTTTTGATTTTAATCTTAATTTAATCTGTAGGTGCCACCAATCCATGCCACTCCCAAATTCTTCCTTTTTTTGCTTCTTGAAAAACAGTTTCGCCAGTCTGTGTATGTGTAAAATTCTTGCCCAGAATGGCATCATTTCCAAAAAGAAAGCAGAACATGTTAACAATGAAGTCAAATCTGGAAATCAAACTGTTGGCCAATATTTTTAATCTTAGTAAAGCAACAATTCCAGATACAAAAAAAAGGAGAGAATCAATCTTAAAATTTGCATCAAAACTGAACTCAGACAATGATTCAAGAAATGAAACACTATGAATTGAGCAAATGATGACAGCTCAAAGAAATTAAAAACCATGAGGCAAGCATGGCAAGGAAGAGGAACACAAAGTGCCTTGATAGTGAACTTTATTTGTAGTTTACATAAAGATGAAACAAAGGAAATCTGATATCTTTATTGTATAAGAAAATGTTAGAACTAAATATTAAGTTGAATGATTCACCTAATTTCAAAGTTGTTACTAGTTGGCTAAAGAATATTAAATCTTGCAATTGTATAATTTCATATTGAGGGAGAATCATTGTCTTGTGATAGCATTTGAATTCAAAGAGAAGTTTTTGCAGTGTATGGAAAATGACGGCTACTCTAGAAATGGTGTGTACAACACACAACACAGATCAAACAGGAATAAATTAGAAGGTACTTCCAAGAAAGTTTACAGGCTTCAAAGCATGAATATGTTGCTCTAAGTTTTACAGTCACCAAAGAATGGATTATGGTTGTTTGTACAAACACTAGTGTAAATAAACTCATACTATTAGGGTAATATGTTTTATGAAACAGACCCTAGACTGGCATCTAGAACACTGCTATCAGCCTAAAAAACATAATGGCAGTGCTTTAAGTAATGTCAAAACAGATAACATTGAGAAATTTTTGATTTGTTAATTTTTTATCAGGCACATACAAAATTTTCTTTAAGTTTTGTTTTTATTTGCCCCAAACTACAGTATTTTAATTTATAAGTTTTGGAACAGGTTAATATTGGTAATATTATGACTGATAACAATATCTGTAATCATGATAATTCTATTGTATACAGGATTTTAAATATAAAATTTAAAACATTGAAATAAATATTTAAAATTTTGTATCTGACAATGTATGACCATTAAATATAAAATACAAATAGTGTTAAGAAAAATACAAATTAATACAATTCACCAAAGCTAAAAGTTATTTTTAAATATCTAAATAATTTAATTATCTTTTCATTACAAACCTTGTTTTTGTTCTTCTGTCAATTCTTCTTTCACTGGTAATTTTTCAGATTCTTCTTTTAATGTATTAGAATCATCAGAAACCTCTTTATCAAGAGAGATAGATTTCTCTTTCATTTCACTTTTATGCACGTTATCATCTTCTGCATTCTTATATAAATTATCATTGTTGGTTGGATTTTCCAATAAATAAGAACTAGAATCTTTTCTATCATCCTTAACTAATAATTCATCAACAGAATCTGCAATTGTTTTTGAATCTTCAGTTTTGGTAATAACTTTTAAATTTTCAGAATTTGTTATTTTTTCATTAGAATGACTAGAAACAGGTTCTTCACTAGATGACGCATCATTATTCTTTGAAGTAACAGGTGAATTTAATGACGATTCTTTTGGTTCATCTTCAGAAGGATTATTTACATTTACACTAACAGCAGGAGATTTAATGTGTGTATCTTGATTAGCTTTCACAATATTGTTTCTTAACCATAAAAATAGTAACAATAATAATACTTTCTGACATTTTAAAAAGACCATATTGAACTAGTACTTGTTAAAAATCTTCAGTTCTTGATATTTTCTGTAAATAAAAAAATTCAGACTATATTTCCAAAGATCATGAAAACAGACTTAGTTATAACAACATAATTTTCATAACAATTAAACTGTTGAATATCCAGCAACATATACATAGACAATATTTTTAAACAAATATGTAAAAATTCAGTAAATTAGAAAGAATTCTTAGTTTTGTTTAACATATAAAGAATCTTCACATCAAGAACATGTAGATAAAAGTATTTTACATGTTAATTATTAATAATGATATTAATTACATATGCATACTTGATGACACAAAACAAATTGTGCATTCAAGTAATATCATATATTTATATTATAGAATATTTAAAATTTGTTAACAGATTGTAATTTTGTAACAAATTCAAAGTAATTATAACAATTTGTAAACTCAAATTTAAAAACAATCTATTCAGTCCTATCTAGTCTGAGCTTAAAACATTGAGTACAGACTAGATAGAATTGGATAGCCAACTCTGGGAAAAGTGTTTGCAGCACCATCAGCTGTCATCAGATGAAAATACATTTTAATTTTATCTAAATAAAATTATAAATTTGATGTAAGTTAATTAAAAATTTAAGCTTATATAATCTTGTATTTATTTATTAAAAACACAAAATTATATACACTTATATTAAACAGTGTTGCTACACCACATCAAAAAAACTGGTTGTTAAGAATAAAACTATACACAAAATATCACAAAAACCAGTAAAAGGAATAAAAGTTATTGGGCTGCAATTTGAAAAAATTGTAGACCTATAAATTCCCAGTTGTCCATCTTTCCTTAATCTTGAGAGCAAAGTTAGATAGATGAAAAATGAGACCAGATATGGAAACCTTAGGGGGAGGAAGTCCCAATTAACTATATATGAACTTCCAGTTTGCACCAAAAGTCATGTTATTTCAATTCAAAAATTTCCCCTTGAAAGGAGTTAGTTAGATGACCAGCACAACTCTATTGCTAACAGGAAAGTATAATGTACAGGGGCAAGACACTACTAATTTGAAGTGGAGAGCATATACTGTATTTTAAATCAAATAAATTAAAAATATGATTAAAAATTGCAGCCCAGCATTGTGATGGTGTCAAAACAAATATTTGCTTGTTTATTTATACAAATTTTGACCTCATTTTTGTTCCTGGTTGCTGTGCAATAACTCAGTTACCAAACAAGCTACTCAGTGGAGCCAGCCACTGATGGTCAACTTCCTATACTTCCTAGGTTAAAAGAAAGTTGACAGCCTGATCAAATTGAAAAAAAAACATTTCTATTAAATTGCATTGCACATGGACATCTTTTGCTCCCATTTAACAAAACAGTGAGCTATTCTGAAGTATTGCCAAAATACATAAATATTTTGGCATTTATGTATTGCCAAAATATTGCCTTTGACAGGACCCAAGAAAAATTAAATTTTTGATGACTGACATATACTGTTCTCAGAAAGTTTATTCCCACAGTTCTTTTTGCATGGAAAAGTTTGCATATATCATTTCTGAATCCTTTCAGCCACTGCTGCTGTCTTCCTCTTCAAAGTCCGCATACTGTTTAGCATCTTTAACTATTGACAGACTTTCGTAGAACTTCATATTCTCTGCCTTCTGCAGGAAAACTGACAGCTTCAGGTAGTCCACAAGTTTCTTGTTCAGAATAGGTACTGGATCTTTGTACGCTTGTGGCAGTGTTAAGTCATTGATCCACTTCCTAGTGCTTCTAATCAGAATACTTTTGTATGGTCCAGAATATGTGTCATAAATTTGAACAGCCTCTTCATCTTCAGTGACTTTTCTAATCCTTGCTGATTTCAGATTCAATTTTTACTTAATAAACAGGTGATGTTTACGTACCTGCATTCAGGAGCATGCAGGTATGTAAACATCACCTATTATGTTCCTATTCTCTTCTTTTTGTGGTTTGTGTGACTAATTCTATAAACTTTGGCCTCTCAGATACTGTCTTCTTTCCTCTTCTTTCTTGACTGCAAACATCTACCAATATCAAACATCTTCAAATAATTTTGAGATTATTGTGATCCAGAATACTGTGCTTTTCAATGTAGTTGGCCATCATTTAAGTCACCTTTCTCACAAAAACAGCAATATCCCTGACAATTATTGACTTTGTAAATAAATCTTGACATTATCTGCTGACATAGTTTTTGTAATAACTCAATCTTTCATATAGAATATCTCTGTTGGAATTTTCTGTTGTTGCATAATATTTCATGATCAAGTCACCCATTAGAGTTGACAGATGCAATGAAAAATTCATTTTTTCTCAATTTTGACATATGTTGTTTTTGCAAAACAAGGCCTCAATTACATTTCAGTGTGCATGCAGGAAAGATATTATTTCTGTTTTTCGATGTGTGTCACAGTTCAATTTAAATCAAATTAATTAATAAAAATAAAGTTAATTGACATTCAAATAATGTAAATGGCATTCAAGAATTCATGTTTAAATATGCTTAAGTTAAATTAAATAACAAAAATTTATTGATATAATACTATATATTTATTTATGCTTCTAACACGATAGTGTTATAAATTAAGACACTTGGCGGGTTTACTCATCTTTATTTAGATGAGAAAATCCACCAAGTGTCTTAATTTATAACACTTTATCGTGTTAGAAGCATAAACAAATTGTAAAGCACGGTTTCATATCATCATCATAATACTATATATTATAATATTAATATTTATTAATACTAGATAGCCAGTTAATTAAAACTAAAAATAATAATTAAAACTGGCCTTTACACCAAAACTGAAACTAAAACTAAAATTAAAAACAAAATTAATTAATTAAAATCGTCAAAATCAAATCAATTGAAACATATTATGGAAATTGTGGATCAATCAGAAAAGTATCAATACTTGTCTGATTGATTTGGTTATTTTTCATGCCAGCAATCAGTTGAGTCTGTATTTATAGCACTTTTTTGTAAAGTGTTTATTTTGGTTTTGGTTGGTGGTGGTAATGGAACAGTTTTTAATATGTATATCCAGAATAAAGATAGATATAGATAAAACAATATTATATTGCCTTTTAGGCATTTTTATGCATAAAATAGTGCTAAAAAGATAAAAAAAAAAAAAAAAGTTTTATTTTGGGGGTTGCAAACAGATTTAATCCATTTTTATTGTTTCTTATGGGAAAATCTGTTTCAGTTTAGAACAAATCAATTTTTGAATAACTTTCAGGAACGAATTAAGTTTGAAACCGGATTGACTGTATTTCCACTATGACAGTAATCTAACTATACTTCTAAAATAGTAATCCATATAGGTTTTAAACAAATGCTCTGTTCCATTTTTATCCAATGATGATAAGTTGATTTATTGAAACTGTTCTTAATACTTACAAATTTCTACTTTTATAATTGTATATAGTATTAAATTAACATCTAGAGCAGAAGTGTCCCAACCTTTTTGTTTCTCTGGGCGGCATTGGAAGAGGTCAAGGAGTTTTGGGCCACAATATATACTTGTGGCCCAATATACAAGTATATTTAAGGATTAACATGTCTAGATTACAATAATAAGTATTAAATCTTTTCACGAAAAAGGATATTTTAAAAAATTACTTCTACAGACACTTTCAATTTTTACTTTGAAATAGATAAATTCATTTATTATAAAAGAGACAAATGAAAATTTATTTGAAAAACACAAATATTTATTTTCTTTCGGCCTCTAATTAATAAAAAGCGACAAAACACCATTTTAAAATGCATTGTTATTCAACTAATATATTTATAAATAGTATGTAGCCCAAGAAGTAGCCAAAGCGCCAAATGATATTTATGTCAAACAAAAAAAAGTAGCCACATTTGGCGCAAATGTAGCGAAATCTTGCAATGTTGGAAGAAATACTAAAAAAAGCTGGAGTTGTGACTCAAAGGATTATAGAATGTAGGGAAAGGAGAGAAAAGACAAAAGATAAAGAAGTGAGAAAGGTTGGTCTCACTACATTTATCTTTTGTCATTTCTCACTTTTCCTCCTTTTCCCAAATTTGGGTCTATAATCTTTTGAGTCACAACTCCAGCTTTATTTAGTAATCCTTCCTCATTCATACATCTCCAAATATTTGAAAATATTTCCTTTCCACTCAAAAATAAAATATGAATAAAGGTTTATGACTTTGTGTAACTTCTTTTTTGAGTTTATGCCGTTGAAATAAATAAATAATAAAAAAATTAAAACATTTGTTGATTTTGTTTACACGTTTATTGAGCTGCATTGGAACTTGCCTTGGGCCGCATGCAGCCTGTGGGTTGGACACTCCTGATATAGAGACAGTTTTCTTATTATTTTATTTACAAATATGATGTATAGTATCACTATATGTTATTTAATTTAACTTAAATCTAATGTATGAGTTACAAATGTATACAAAATATAAACATCCAAACTGAATAGTTATATATTAAAGCCAAACAATTGCCAAATTATATTGAGCTATATTACTACTACTATTATTAATATAAATGTAAATGTTACAAATGTAAATGAAATTATTAAACACTTGAATTCTAAGATATCAAAAATATAAATCATTTGCTAAAAAATGACTTTTTTGTAATTTTTAAATGATATTTCAACTACCCTGCCAAGTTTTTAAATGCAGATCAGACAGCCCTTTACTGGAAATGTATGCCTGACAAAAGTTATGTGGCTAAAGAAGAGACCAAGATGCCAGGCTTCAAACCAGCTAAAGATTGGGTGTCTCTACTGTTCTGTGGTAATAGTGCTGGGGATTCCAAAACTAAACCAGTGCTTATATACCACTCTACCTGACCTCATGCCTTTAAGAACATATGCACATTAACTCTCCCTGTGCATTGGTGTGCTAACAAAAAAGGATGGATGATGAAAGTGATCTCTGAAGAGTGGTTTATGACCCACTTCTGTGCTGAGATAAAACAATACTGTGCTAAGAAGAATATTACTTTTAAAGCAATTCTTCTCTTAGATAATTTTTCCAGCCAC